TTACAATATATATATATATATATATATATATAAAGGTTACCAGATGGCATAATAAAAGGAAAATCAATTATCATCTAAAGAAAAATAAGATTTAATACAAACTTATATCATTAATTAATTTGATTTTTTATACAAATAAATGATTATCCATTAAATTCATTATGATGTAATCAACTTTTATATTATCACATCTCTCTTGGGGTTTCAAAATTATTAATCACACCTTTTGGTGTACACAGTTTGGTTGGTTTTGAATTTCGCGCAAAGCTACACGAGAGCTATTTGTGCTAACCGTCCTTAATTTTACAGTAATAGACTGGAGGGAATGCAGCTAGTCAACACTACCCACCGCCAACACCTGGGCTACTCTTTTACCAACGAATAGTTGGGTTGACCGTCACACTATAATACTGATATGGCTAAAAGGATAAGGATATTCTGCGACGGGGATTGGTACCCACGACCCGCAGACTGCGAGTCAAACGCCCTAACCACCAGACCATGCCAGGACTGGCGTATACAATCTGAACTTCCAGGCCTCTCAGTGGTACTTGAGGCAACTAATACCCTTCTGGTGGTAACAGAAATAAATATCCCATCTGATTGATTCAATTACAATCCTACGACACTATAGGTGACACCATACTCTTATATGTAAGGACCCCCTCCTCTCTGGCCAATAATTGTTGATCTTAAATTCCCGAGGATTCTCCATTGGAACGGCCCCTTGGCACATGAAGTAGAACGGTATACTACAGAGGTAGTATCTCCATCTGTGCGTTGGTTTTGTTTCTCCATATATTTCTCTTTTACTAAGCCACATTTTACCCTTCTCACATAGCAGTTTGTAACCTTGTTTTATTTGCCTTTTATATGCGGCGATTTCCACTTTTGGCCGAGTTGTCTGAAAGCTGTTTTGAAATAAATCCAATTCTAAGGAGATGCTTACCGTTCCTTTTAGGTAGTAAAATTAACACAACCGTTGTGCAATCTTTATACATATATATATATATATATATATATTCATTTATTCGTTAAATATCCATTACCCGTGTCCTACACACGTTCACTGATTATTATTTTTTTTTCAAAACAACATAAAAATATGTTTTCATTTTTCAAAGACGAAATAGAGTCTGAGATCAAAAAAATTCATACCAACTGTTCTGTGTATGATTGCAAATTTACGTTTTACTGGGCCTTAGCCAAGTAAGATTTTTATGTTGTCAAACACACACACAACACAGAAAATAAATATAATTAAAGTACATTTTTTTTAATGTGAGAAAAGAATATCTTAGTGTGCAGTTTAAAACAAACAAAATATTAAAACGATCAAGAAAACCCTTTAAAAGTGAAATAAGAGAACCAAGTATTTTCAACAAATTATGTGACCAGCACACAAGATTAGAGATGAAGAGGAACATCTTATTCTGAGTTTTCTTCCTCCTCTGGAGCATCTGAGGAAAAATAAAATATCGTTTAGTATGTAATATTCTACGTAAACTTCTAAAATACTTCTTCAATAATAATAATCACTTTCAAATATTACTTAAAGTGGTAAAATTGATTTGATATAGAGTTAAATTTTGAAATGAACAAGAAACAATTATAAAACTGAATAAATTGTTTTATTTACTTCGTGTCATAAGAAATATCAAAGGTTAATCACAATTTTTAATAACTATGATCCGGATTCTATATTGTCTTTGGAATTACCATTGTAGATGACCATTATTACATATTATTGCCCTAGCTGCATTTAATCATTCAAGGTAAATACAGTTATGGTATTCATCGTTTGTTTGACTGAAAGTTATTTGTTTACAGTTTCTTCAAATTACTGTTACTCCTTGTAGATATGTCTCTCACTGATAAGTCTGAGGATTTACAACGGACAAAAATAGGTTTTTATACTCGCAGAGAACAGAGAAGTGCTAGCAAATTTTGTAGCGTTGAGTTTAATAACAAAAAGGTTTTTCATATATTCATGTCACAGGCATCAAGAGCACAAATATGTCTAATCATCTTTGTGATAACCCCTAAAGTATTGTATTATTGATAGAAATTCAATTAGTCTATTTATTTTATAGTACTTTTTAATTTTCATGTGATGTGTGTTTTTGGAAAAAAAAATGTTGAATCGGTTCCATATGGTTACATGTTGCTGTGTGTGACTTCGTAGAATACAAATAAAACCAATTAATGATAACTTTGGAAAATCATTTTGAAGTAGTTGAGGTGTCGAAACTCGGTTTCTAGCGTTGTAAGTCCGCAGACATACCGCTTTGTCACTGGGGGGCCGAACAATAGAAGAAGGGATCCTGCGGTATTCTTTACAGAATAGAAAAAGCACGCACAGCATAGCTTTTAGACCAATAACGGGCTCTAAGACACCCCCCCCCCCAATTCAGTTTGAAGTAATGCACATATCTAAGAAGTAAATGTATGGTTACATTTCCATATCCCCCAAAAAAACATAAATTATTGCAATTATGCTGGACACTTATCCTGGTACTGTTAATTTGATAATAAGCAATTATATGAAAATGGCAAATGTTCACCAGCCAAAGGTTTACAAACCAGTGACTGTTTTTATTAAAAAGATGGCCGAAGGAATTGAAATCACAGCAATCCAATTCGACCACGTAACTGTTAAGTGGTCTATTATAGCTCTAATGGAATTCTGTGCATCTAGTCTGCTTAAACGCTGCATTAGAAGCCGACCTCCATTGAAGTTTAGGGTCTGTAGCAAGTTTATCAAAAAAACTCGTTCCAATGCAAAATATGATGTATTAGAACTTACACTTTTCACGTTTAATTTAAAACATTGAACTGCCTGGTGCCGGAATTAATAGTAATTTATTGCACAACCATTTGCTGTAGAAGAGCACACTTTCACGATACTTATCTGGTGATACATTTTTATTATCTGTCTATTTTAATATATTCGAGTCCACACGATCCAACCATTGATCTTAATTCAAGAATTATATAAATAATTACAACAAATCTCCACAATATAAATAATTACACCAAATCTCCACAATATAGATAATTACACCAAATCTCCACAATATAGATAATTACACCAAATCTTCACATATGCAATTAGTATTAAAATCGACTTATACTGTTAGTATCTACTATCATATAAACTTTAAAATTAACTTTGATGCAGACTTATGCATATATAAATTTTGTTTTTGAAGACAATAATTCTGCTACGGCTGTCATGCGGATTGATAGTAAGTTTTGTTGCTGTACGTCTAACTATATAAAGGAGTAGCAAATGAAACTATAATTTGTTTATATATTGATCATTTATAGATTAAAGTGGCTTTCTTTTTTGAAGCAATGTAGTCCTCTTAAAGTTGATACTCACTATTTGTGTCTCCTGGTTCTGGATTTCCTATTTTACACACACAGCCAGGGCAATTTCCTGGTGGAGGGTTAGACTCCACTTCACAAAGTGGATGGTTGCATTCTACATGTGAGCAAGGATATTCGCACTTGCACATCTTACAACCATTATCCCGTGGTATTATCTCACAGTTATAGCCAGCACAAACAGGCTCTGGACATTTGTTAGTGTTGTCCACATCCACAACGTTGGCTGAAAAGTTCAAATTGAACCAATATCACAGATAATGTTCTGATTAATAAGAAAATGACACGAATGGGTGAGTGACATCAATAAATAATATTTTGATTATTCCGGCACAAATGGTATAGTTCGTTTAATGAGAAGGAGAGTACTTTGCTTACGCTACCACAGGTTCTGCATACTCACTCTCGAAAATTCGAGAAGTCACATCCCCTATAGATACTCGGGAAATTCTAAGCGACAAAACTCTCTCCAGCAAACAATACAGGACTTATAAATTAAAGTATTAAAACATATTTCACAATACCATGAATGCTTTCTTTCATTACTCAATAATTGGATGTTTCTGTTTAAGATCTTATGTACTGCAGCCAATTCAAATACTGTTGTTATTGAATATATAGAAGTTCCGAACCTGCCCAAAGACAGAAACCGTAACAACAATAGCATATCTGTTCATACGTAATGTATTCAATTGTTCATCTAATTTAATATTTATGTTAGAATGTGAATTTTCTGCGTCCTCGACCATACAAGTACTGGATATTTTCAAATGTCCTCTGCCCAGCACCTTATGAATGATCCAGTTAACTAAATTGTTGATGTATGCTAAATATTTAAGTTGTTCATTGTTCTTAAACTTTCTGGTAGATCCAGAATAGCGGGATTGTTTGTCACAGTTATAAAGTACCGAAAGCTGAAATTGTAGACTATTTTCAGCAGTGTATCGCGGTTCGAACGCTTAATCTTTCGGTCAGGTCCGCAACTCAGCAACTTAACCACTAGGTCACTCCAGACCAAACATTAAATTATTTAAAATATAAATAATAACATGAAATAAGCAATCCTTTTTTTCACTCTAACTATAACAAGAACATTTTCGTGTTTGAAAATAACAGTGAGTTAATCGCACTTCGTTTGAACAATTTGTATGAGTAAAATCAGTGATGTGTTGTGACGGATGAGAGTCAAGGGGCCACGGGCGAAACTATTAGCTAAAGCGTATGTAAGAAACATTTTCCAATATAAATAAGCATACAGCAAGAAGAATAAACGATGTAAAATCGAAATACACAACATTTTGAAATCTTCTTATGTTCTCTATGGACGCTGGGAAGCTGAATAACTTACGAACATGAAGATTCAGGGCAGTAAACACCAACGGGTTCTGAAATCACACTCTAACAGTACTGTTGTTATATGAAGGATGGCCATATAACTGGAATCACAGCAATCCCAATTGACGACATACTATAAATTTGGAAATTTTACTGTTTGTTTGCATTTAAGCACACAATTACACAATGGGTTATCTGTTCTGTGCTCACAGTTTTTAGCATTGTAAATCCGCAAACTTACCGCTGTGCCACTGTGGAGCAAATGTTTATTGTAAATGGACTTATAGCAACTTTGCGAGTACCGCCAATATGTAAGAAACAGAAAGTCAAAAATAAAACTCCATTTAGAAATACCACATTTGAAATTCCTTGAAAAGTAACTCCAATGACTCGTTTTAAATTTGGAGTATTCCACTTCATAAAAAACAAATAAAATGTTATGTACGGCTTTGCCAAATTTATACTAAACTGGAGCGTTATCTCTTACTTCTTGTGAGTAGGTTAAAGATTAATGGCCGACGCGTTAATTAAAAAAAATGACCAACAATGTCACACACTTATTCAGGGTTTTTGTAGAATTGCAGTGAATTTTTTTTCTCAATGCTGTTTTTAAGTCATTTTAAAAGTCAAGAGAGGGACGTACTGGTCAGTAATGATTTTGATGATATCGTAAAGAAGTCTGTAAATGAATAATTATAAGCTCATCCAACCCCCCCCCCCGACAAAGAATAAAGGTAGTAAATACAATATACTTTCTTCAGACATGAAAACCGAAATTAGCAATCATATGAAAACGAAACGTCAAAGACAATTAAGCATTTTAGTAATTTAAATTTGAAGAAAACCAGTGTGAAGTACTTGAAAAATAAATAGTTTTTTCTGAAGATGATATTATTGAACAATATTTCTTGCAAAGCGGGAACGAATGTTGATATTGGTAGAAATCTTATAAAAACATGTGTAATACTTAGTTACCAAAATTTGTGATACCAGTGACTAAAAACATAAAAATTTAGAAACAAGACAAACCAAATCAGCAATTTGCCATGAATTCGCTCAAAATTAATATCCACAAAAATTTCCAGATTTAAGGTAGTTTCAAGTTTCCCAATGCAGCTCCTGTGTAGTTTCGTACCCTTAGTTTGCTTAAACGTGATCTCGAAGGAAACAGAAATTACAGCATCCCAATCGACTATATTCCTATCAAGATGTCAAATACAGCACCAGCGGACTTTTATGCATTTGGTTCGCTAATAAGAGGCCTTTAAATCTAATGTTCGCTTATAGTGAATGGTTTGGGAAAGGTCTGTCAAAAAGTGTAGTCGTTTTTGTAAAAGCAAGTTATAATGGAACATTGTGGTGTTGAGCAGTAGTGAGTACTCATGGCTATCAACAAGCTACAAAGGAGGATGCAATTCTAAGGACAGGATGGAATGAATTAAATCGTTCTTATAAAGTGCGATAAACCTCACTATGAAATATTTTAAGTCCACTTGTATGATGTTATGCTAAATGTTATACAAACGTTTATTTTCTTCAACTTCTATCTTCTCCACTGAGCAGCGACACTGTGGACACCGACCTGAGGAAACGTCAGTTTCTAAGCTACAACCAGGGGTGTCACATTGTACTGATGGACAGGATGGTTCACAAGAGCACGTATTACAGCCGTCGTTTCCAGCCACCAATTTGCAATTCTCTTCTAAACAAAGAGGTTGAGAGCAATTTGAGAGACTTTGGGAGTCGTTCGCTTTGCCAGATTCTGTGGACTCTTCCTCTTTCACTAAAACAAGAGCATTTTATGTTACACTCGGTAACCTGTATTGAAAATATTGTCTGGTATTTTTAACGTAGTCGTTACTTTGAGAGATACTTTTCAGTGTCTTGAATTATTCATATATCACAAAATAAATTTTCTTCCAAAATAAAAAGCATGTATTATTACTACAATTTGTCTCCTGATTGCTCAGTGATTCTTTTCTCGAGATTAAAACATTACATTATAAAGACAGCTTTATAAAGTAAGCATAAATGTTGACAGAAAATGTACACTGAACGATTATAAGTAAGAAAAATTCAAAAAGCCAGATAACTCACAGTATGCAACATGAGTGTTCTTAATTTCTTGAACGTGACAACGACAAGACGAACACTGGCCTTCGTGTTTTCCCTCCTGTAGTTCACAGCCATCTTGACATTTGGGTATTTCACATATTTCACAATGGCATGACTTACATCCATCAGCATCATCCAGCAATACACAGTCATAGCCATTGCATACAGGATCTGGACAATGTTCACTCTCGATCTTGGCTAAATACAAAATATATCGGTATGATCATGCACACAAAAAAGTTATTAAGAACTTCAAGGTAAAACAGCTAAGTATCTTGTCGATACATGAATGTAGAGATTAGTCGATACAGAAAGTTGAGTACGGTATAATAACACGATTTTGAACATGCAAATATGCACCTTATGTGAAAAACCAGAGTGATAGTAAAGTCGTGTGAAATGATTGGTAACATGTGGTCGCTTTTGGGAAAGATATGTAACAGTCCTTTCCGACGAAGAATATTCATACGCTTACACCATAAAGATGAATTTAGACCAGAGATTTAGAATTTCCAAGATGAAGGTATCCCTTGTACTTAATCACATTGGAAGACAAAGGATTGTGGATCAAACTGCAGTAGTAGGACCATCTAAAAAGAGACCTGCAACAAGTCTTACACCATCAGTGGTAGGCAAAGTAGGGCGTTTTGTAATATCTGAGAACCCACGAACACAAAGGTCAGAGACAAAAGTCGTCCACGTGACTCAGATGACAGTACCCTCATAATCAATAAGGATCTCCGTCATGTTTAAATCAACTGTTTTCATGACGTATTAGTTCAACACTGTCACATATCTTTAGCAGCTAGAGAAAGGAATGGCTATTCATGCTATTCCACACAAAGACTTGTTGGTCGAGTCGCATGACGCGGCGCCTGCGTAGTTTTGTGAGATAGGACTACTGAAATAGCGCTGGTAAACCGTTGTCCTTGTAGAGTAGGATATGACCTTTTGTAATGGAAACTACGTTACAGGATGCATGACGAGACGTAATGACATGGACTGTAATGACGTGATAAGGGTCCAAAATCATTTTACTATAACGTACTTAACTTCTGTATATGGGATGATGTTCTAAATGTATTTATCCTCGGCATTACTTCATCCGTCTTTTCAAGGTTAGCAAGAAAAACTACAAAAACAAACGACATTGGAAATAACACGAACACAGAAACTTTTTATTAAAACATATGAACATCTAGTAATTTTAGAAGTAACTGGAAAATTTCATCACCAAAAAAGTAGTTACAAATCATACAAATGTTCTTTATGAAAGTAACAATAAAATTTTGATCAGATTTTACCCCTACATGAACTGTTATCATAAAATTTGCTACTCTGTCATAAGATAACCTTTCATCAATCACAAATTTACACAACTTCCGTCCAGGGGACTTGTACTCCAGTTAGAATATACACTGAATGGTCACAAGTAAATATACACCTAATTTTTCGTCATTTAACTGATTCATGCTAACTAATTTGTGTTCACAGAGCACTATATAAATG